GAATTAGAGACTCACAAGTGACTAATTCGTTACCTCCAAGAATACGCAAAATAATACATGCATTTTTTCACCTTTCAAAGTCAATGGAAACTAGTAAAACAGTTTGCATAAACCGAAAGGAAAATGTTTGCTGAAGAAAAACCTAGCAAATCGGCCATAAACGTTAATATGATGCAACCCTGGCAAATTCTAATTAATATTTAGATATCACTTACAATTCTTTTAGAGTTCGTTTTTGATTGCGCATAACTCATAACTACAGGATTTATTTCCTAGTTGATAGAATTCTCTTACTCAAAGTATATTATGAGAAAGTTTATTATTCAGAGGATTTAATCGCATCTATGAATTCAATATAAAAACTGTTGAATGCATTTTATGGAAATAAAAGTGAGAGTAATTGATTACAAATGTAAAATTTAGTGCTATTAATAATTCAAATCAATATTTATTAATTGCCTTCACTATTGAATTCCAACTTAAAGGATACTTTCTGAATGGTTAAAATAATTGATCAACATATCGAAAAAGATTTTAACGTTTACAAAATCACTGGTTGTAATAATAATAATAATAATAAAAACTCATGAATAATGGTGTTTTCTAATTTTAAAAATATGTTTACTTAGTAGGCTATATTTAGATGTACATTCTGTAAATCGGCGTTAAACAGGTTTCTACTCATTGTTATTTCCGTCAAAGTTAAAAAAATTATAATGTGAATTGAACCAATATTGATCCATTAGATAAATATGTAACCTAATATTGTTTTTTCCACTCCATATGTTCAATAAAACTCATGGAATAATATTAACCACCTGTCTTAGCAGTCTTTTAAACAATATTCAACGAATTTAATGAAATTAACGATATATATATATATATATATATATATATATATATATAATATAAATGACACTTTTATTTGTATGCACAGTAATCAGTAGCAAATTTAACTAGTAATACTAGTTTCAGAATGCACTTATATAACTACTTCAAACATATAATTGTCTGTACCAGTCAACAGACAGCCAATACAAAAGATCGAAACGCTGGAATCTCAAATGAGATATGACTAGATTATATGAAGATTATTTTTTTTCTATAGGCATTGACACAGTCACGCTATTGATTGTAGTCAATGTCAAGTAGCACAGTTCTTATGGCTGATTGGATTCGTTTGATCAATTTACATTAAAGCCACTAATTTAAATAATAAATAATAAAATAAATAAATAAAATAAATAATAAATAACATCACTAATGTTTCAGTATCATCTAGTATCAAGGTCAAAGATCTTTGAAATCTCTTGATTATACAAAAATCAGGAAAATGGAACCTTGTGTTTTTAGATTTATTTGATTAGTTGCAGCTTCTGATAGACTTTGTTTATAAATACACTCCTCGATAGGAAAATATTTTGTTAGTTGTATTATTTCAAAGTTAATAGAATAAGAATATGCAGAAATTCCAGCTTTCTACCTGTATGAGTTCTCAATTTCAATCATAACGCATTTATAGGAAACATTGAAAATCGACATATAATTCCAATGTTAATAATTAAAATGCATAATTCAATGAAGGAATCTCCTTCACACGATTTGTAAGTCAAACTGTAATAGATTTTAACATAGAATAAATATGGTTATATAATAGAAATGTTTCAAACAAATCATTATGAAATCCATGTACCATATCATTTTATCCTATCGGAATCTTTTTACTTTTACACCTCATATTTTCAATGATATAACCCATCTTTCGTGCATTTCTATTTCAAATAGAGCCCTAAAGTGAACTTAGTTTACTGTTTCCGTAAATGTTCTCTGATTTTTTTCGGTAGTTTAAAGTCAGAAAATTACAATCAAACAAATGAATGTATAGGAATAGGGAGCTTGTTCGTTTACTTTTATATAAGCTGACCTAATCTTAAATAGCCTGCCGAATTGAAAACAGTGCCATCACATGAATAAAATTCATGTTTTTTTTCTGTAAGCTTATAGCGTATTCATCTGTTTGTCAACACAATGACCTGGAACTTTGTGTTGTTTTTTTTTAACACTCTCCTTTCATCATTTCCGCTATTTTTCATTTTCAAAAAAGTTAACCGTGAAACGCTTAACAAAAAAATGTTGTTTTGAACAAAAATGAAATCATTTAAGCAAATTTTTAATGGTTAGTTATTACGGCATTTAAAAAGGACATCAAGCGATGAACAAATGATAAAAAATCAATTTAGTTAGCATAAATAACAATAATAATGAAAACAGTTTCATAATTTATATGTAACAGATGAACACTTATCAAAAGAACGTTTGTAGGTCAAGCAGTGTTATTTGTAAAATTTCAGTTCATTGATTAATCATTGTAGGGTTGTTAATAGTAAGATGTAGAAGTGTGTTGATATTGTTCAATGGTTGTAAAGATAAAATGAATCAAAGGTTTTGATCTATAGTTGATCAAATATACGAAACATTATTCTATTTCATCTAATTTACTGATCCAGCTTAGAATTCAGTAATGAAATTAATAGTTCATTATCAATCTAAAATTAGTCTATCAAAACAAAAGGTAGAACCTGGAATATATGCACTTTGTTTCAATTTTATTAAAATAACAAATATGTGGTTGATTACTTTTGCAAACGTAAAGTAAAGCATTGTTCTTCGAGTATTCTCAGCGACCACTAAGTTGTTATCACTTTAAAATGTAATTACAAACATTTTATTAGACATGTGTAAATCATGCTGTGTTCTTAGAAGGTATATTAATGTTTGAATCTTGACCAAATTGTACTATTTTGCAATTGATTCTTCTGGTAATGAATGATACCATAGTGAAGCGTTGGGTTTTCTTCCATAAATCCTTATACGCATTGTTAATTTTACTCATTTTACTATCGAATGATATTTACACATTTAAGTAATAGTCCGACGTTTGACTATCAATACGATTTTCTTCATCCTGGTGACCGAATATGATTGTTGGTCTGTATTAACGGCAGAAAAATAATAATATTAACACTCAGAAGCTTCAGTTTCATCAAAATACATTATAGACCATAAAGTTTAAATGTTCTGATAAAGTTAACGTGATTCAAATTAAAACTTTGTAAATCAGTCAATAAAAGTCTTTTGTAGAATTTACCACATATCATTTCTACTCAACTGATTTCTATTATTTCATTTTCTTTCTTTCTGTCAATTATCAGTCATAAACAAATTCTTATTATTAGACTAAAATGCTCAATTGATCAATATTTCCTATCTCTTTCTGCTAAGTGCAACCTATTTGATACTTTTAATGAAATAACTGTCAAGTAAATAGTATTTTGATGTCAAATCAAATGGGAGAAATGCAGAAAAAAACTTTAAAGTAATTTTTGTCTTCATTTGAGCAAATTAAAACACAAAAATATGTGGACGCCTATTTGATTTAGTTTGCAACATCTTGGTTAAGTCGATTTAAGAGCCTGCACAATGTAAACCAGAAATATTACGGTCTCTCAATATATCCTTTTAACTGAAAATTAGTGATTTATAAATTTTAATATCAGTTAATTGGTTAAATTTCTCCACCAATATCTAGTGAAATCGATGGTTGGCTGTTATATTACTGTTGTTGTTAGATCCATCATTGAAGTGTTCTTACTATAATTTTTTTATCTCAAAGCCAGTCGCTGATAGTCTAGTGACTATTAATATAATAATGTATTCTGTAGTTTACTTAATCCAAAAAACACTTTTTCATCACCAAGTAAGTTTGGTTGGAGAATACTAAGAAAATAAAGATCGTTAGATAACTGGCTTAATCGAACCTGAATTTTTTAATCGAACCAATAACTTCAATCTAATAAAATAATTTTTGTTGGTAATAATACTCTAAAAATAAACTTATTATTCTATCAGCTACAATGATACTTTGTCATCATTGATAACTACCATGTGATGATGTACTAATATTTAAAAAATAAGTGACTTGATTTGATAAACATGCTTTTGGAAGAAAATACAGAATCAAAATCTTTATTTAAAATAATTATTCACTAAACGGTGTCCTAAAGTGAGATAATATCGGAGAAATTATCTAAAACTGACTTAAGCAGAAGAATGGGAACCTGAAAGTCGCTAAATAGGAAATATAAAGTTATCCTACAACCTTACTATTACAATTATGTTTATTAGTGTGGTTGGCTATGCAGAAAGGCTTTGTTATTGGAAAAGATTGGGCCTTGTTTCCGTGTGTCTAATATCTTTTATTAAACTTCTTCAAATTTTTCGCCAGTTTTATAGTTTGAATAAAGGCATTTCAAAATATATGCATTTTTGATCATGAATAATTTTAGTCATTGGAAATTATTTCAAAAAAACTGGTCATAAATTATAATGGGAAAAGTTGTAAAATTTACCCCTAACCAAGGTGTTAGTCGGTTTTAAAAAGTATTTCTGAATGAAACAAAATTGTTCATTTATGGGTCGAGGTGACAGATATAAACAAAAAATGAACAGTACTATTATTCATGATTTGCATCAAAATTCACGTAAGCATTTATTTATTCAAAACTTTAAAAATAACACTGTACTTCAATGTGATTGGTTGGTTTGATTCATGTCTAAAACAAGGAAAAATGGGAACTGGTTTTTTAATCATTATGACCAATGATAATCATGTAAATATAGTTAGTTAGTTATTTACTAATGCTTATGAAAGATGAGGCTTGATTGGTTGGTTCAATTTTTTATGAAAGCTTATGTTTTGAATACAAAACATGTTGACTAATTAATTACCTGAGGAACGATACTCTGATGATCAAGTGTATATAATGATTCAGTAAAATGAAACAAATTTATTGATTAGTTTTATATTGAGAATCCTTTTTTTGCAGAATAGATAATGGAAATTCTTATACATATCACACATATACACATATACTCTGTAGTATTTTAAGAAATTAGAAAAACATCTATACAATTATGATTATCATTTTATTTTGATAAATATGAAATCGAAAATTATGTGGAATATTTTAGTAATTATATTACTGTCTCATTTGGTCATTAATATACATTCTTTTCAACGTAAATATGACAAGAATACAGTTGCAAGTATACCTGGTGATATTATACTTGGTGGATTATTCCCTGTACATACATCTGGTGTAACTGCATGTGAATCAATCAATCCAGAAAGAGGAATTCAACGAGTTGAAGCAATGTTATTCACATTAGATGAAATTAATAATAATACAAAATTATTACCAGGTTTAACTTTAGGCACTACAATACGTGATACATGCTCAGACACAAATCATGCACTTGAACAAGCATTAAAATTTGTACAAGCCAGTACTGGAAATAGTGGTCAATTAAATACAATGAATGAACATTCAGAGAATTTAATTACTCGTGGAGTTGTTGGTAGTTCATATAGTTCAGTAACAATACTTGTAGCAAATTTATTTCGTCTATTCTCTTTACCACAAATATCTTATGCATCAACAACTGCTATATTAAGTGATAAACGTGCATTTCCATTGTTTGCACGTACTGTACCTTCAGATGTTGTACAAGCTCAAGCTATGGCTACATTAGTCTCAGCGCATAATTGGACTTATGTTTCTACTGTACGCAGTGCAGGTGATTATGGTGATTCAGGTATGGATGCATTTTGGAAAGAAGCTGATAAACTTGGTGTTTGTATAGCGGCTAGAGAAGTGATTCGAGGAAATACTGGCCCAGAGGATTTGGATCATATAGTTCATGTGCTTAGTAAAGATTTTGCAAAAGCTAGAGTCGTTGTTTTATTTACTGGCATGGATCATACAAAGTTATTACTAGATGCAGTTAGGAGAGCTGGCCTCGTTAATCATTTCGTCTGGATTGCTAGCGATGGTTGGGGCAGAGAAAATGTACCTGTATCAAATAATTCAAGAGAAGCTAATGGTGCATTAACTATAGAAATTCAAGCTGAACCAATTAAAGCATTCACAGATTATTATCTATCTTTAGGTAGAGAAAATCATAGAAATCCGTGGTTCAAAGAATATTGGCAAGATTTAACACAATGTAGAGAAGGCTTAACTAAAAGACGAGAAAAAAAATCAACGAACTCCAGGCGTTACTTCATGAGTAGACTAAATAAAAACGAGACAAATTTAGACAATTCTCATGAATTATCATCACCAGCATCATTGTGCAGTAACAGTCCAGATTTAAGATTACGTGACATTCTTGGACCAGATTTCAAACAAGAAGCGAAAATACAATTTGTTTACGATGCAGTTTATGCATTTGCTTCCGGATTACATATACTTCAGAAAAAATTATGTCCTGGTAATCCTCTTCATCCAAAATGGAATAAAAGAGGTTGTCTTGAGAAAATGCTCAATTATCCTGGAACTGCTTTCTACCAGCTAATAATTAATACTTCATTTACTGGTAAGTTGACACGTCAATTATAAGTTAGGGTTTTTAAAATTATTTTCGATCGCTGCAAAACAACGCAAACTAATTATATACCATAAATGAGCTTTTTGATTTTTTTGGCAAGTATTAAATGGATTGAAAAAAATAGTCTACCTTCAGGAGCACTTTTGACCTGTACTTATTGAACGAAATGTTAGAGGACATCTAAAAAACGATGCCATTGAGCTGTGGCTGAAATTTCGTTCATACTATTCAATAAATCAGTGTTAAAATCGAGAGTTGAACTGATAAGGATTGTTGTAAGTATTCGGTCTTCACTTTTAGTGTTCTTCAAAATGCAGCCCGAAATGAATGTGTACAATCTCTAAGCTTTTTAATATTATGTTTTATTATAATGATACGTAAGCACAATAAACATCGATGCGTACTCATGTCCTGTAAAACATAATTGCAAAGTGGAATAGATGTTAGTATAAAAGATGTTATGTTTGGGTAATGAAATCAATTGATGTTTGAGCAACCAGTTGAGGTATTACGAAAAAAAATAAGTTGAGTTCGACCGTGTCAGATATGAAGCCGTTACCACTTCAACACAAGTGAAGATGGTCATTCAATGTCCTGAGTGAGGTTGGACATTAGCACTCTGGGCCGCCAGATTAGTAGTCAAGCATTATTAAACAAGACCGAAGGTCCTGGGTTCAACTCTCATCTGTGTGGTTGTTTTCTTCCCGAAAAGGTTTTCAAGTAGAATGTACAATATAAATTATATTTACAATAATAAATAATATTCATGGAATATTCTAGGATATACAAACGAAGAATAAGTATCGCCTAAAAGTTACAATCTTAAAAATAATAATTTATAATCCATGATAATAAAAACATCGAATTTCACTAGAACTTCATATGCATCAGTAAATTCTTTCCTCTTGTTAATTAATTATTTAAAATCATTCGTATACATAAGCCGATGTATTTTTAAAAGATAGGAACTTCATTGTGATCCAGTCATAAAGATTTGTCATGAATGTCCACTGTATTTCATGTTTCTCCTGAAATGCGAAGGTCTAAATACTACAGTCTAAAACACCAGAAGAAAGATAAGAAGCCTTCCGTAGATAATTAAATTAACAATACATATGTACACAGCAAATGAAAACAACAACGCCAGCAACATTTTTGATTAAAATTTGAAAAGCAATAATATTCATTAGAATTGATTTGTTTTCAAGTTGAAGTTGATTCCATTGTCGGCTTTCCATTTCACCTTTTAGAGATTTGTTTGTTCACTTTTTTTTGAGGATTTTAACAAAATAAATGTCTAAATTAATTAAAATTCAGTGTAAAATAGCAGCAATAAGTAAAATACCGACAGAATAAGTCAATAATCTGAAAATTTCAAAGCAATTTTTTCTCTTTTAGTTGTTTAAGGATTCTGTTTGACAAAAAAGAAAAGATGTTTTGTAATTTATATTATTAAATGATTTTATTTTTGATAAATAATGCGCTGAAAATAATGATTTGTATGCCAGATATTAATTCCACCAACTTACCGTATTTGAACTGCTAAATTTAACAAATGGCAAATGTCATTATCCAAACTTTTAGATTCAAGAAATATTTAAACCTTTTATTTTTATTGGTATGAAATTAGGAAGAACAATAATGTAACTGACTACTAATAACTGTGTAAAAATAAGTAATATGTTAGTTAGATGATAACAGTAAATAAGGAAATTTGAGCATTCAAATTATAGTTCGTTGCCAATGATTTTAGATATGAAGCATACATATTTGCTTAGTATCAACTGAAATGAAATCTATTGAACAACTGAAGTAATTCAAGATTTAGTCAAATTTTTGTTTTTATTTGTAATAAACTTTTGAAAAATTTCTATCAAAATCATGTCTTGAGACTGAATCAACTCATCATAAAGATCATACTTTTGTTTTCTCGATTCGTGACATTTTAACTGACTGTGTAATAAAGGTTTTGAAAATATTTAAGTTTGAACATATCCATATAATGAATTTACCAGTTAATAAGTAGTTCAACTGAAAATCAGGAAATTATAAAATGAATATTTTAATATTTTCACTGTAAAATTTATTTTTAGAAAATAATTTAAGAAATAAATAACTGAGAAGTGATCGCGTTAAATTGGTTTGAAGGTGTTCTTTAAATATCTCCTATACATCAATAAATAATGTCGTTTACTGTAAAAACTTTAATTTATTTTTCTTTGACATTACACAAGTGAAAATGAAATTAGAAAATGTTTTGTAGAGTTTTTTTTGCGTTGTTATACTGCTACGAATAGTTTTGAGCATTGAATATATATAGATATATGTGGTGTGTGCTACTTACACGAACGATATAAGTAGTATAAGAAGGGACGTGAAAGAAGAACTCTCACGGTCACTAGAGGAAAACGGAAAGCAAATGGAGCAAGAGCAAGAAGTAAATAGAGTACCGACAGGAAGTAAAGGAAGCAACAGCAGGAATGGAAGAAGGCTGGAGTGTTGGAAGTCACGACTCAAAGATGGTGTGCAAATAGAGTGTTCAATGTAATGTTTTCGTTTTTAATTGACTAAGAGTGTATATCTATATATCTATATATTGAAAAGAACCATATGTTTAGCTTTCCGCTTCACTGAAAATTCATTACTGAATAGTGACATATTTTTTCTCTCTAAGCAAATTATACTGGGATATAAATTTTTATTAAATTCTATGTACTGTTAAGCATTGTAAAAGAATGAAATATTTTTTTTTAATAAACCGGTGACTATTATGTCACAAACCGAATTCTGACAATGTTGTTTTTATGAAATTCAATAATTTTCTTCCAATAAAATCCTGTTTCCGTTTTAAATACAATTGTAGTCCTAACAATAGCTTTTGTAGACTTACCAAAACAGAAAACATTAAAGCTTATTTTTAAATTGAAAACAGAATTGTTTTTCTTCGTTTGATATCTTCCGCTAAAGAGTTCCTTCCAAAATATCTTAAATCGATTCCAGATGAAGCATGTACAGTTGTACTGTTGTTACTGGCTTAAACACTTTCATGAGAATAAAAAGATAACTTAGTGCGTCATTAGTTAAAGATGATAATCAAGCCTTCTGATATTTCATCTTTCTTTGAATCATTCTTCGATCTAACCAAATGACTACCTAACAAAAACTATAACTTTGACTTGTATTAACATAAAAATTAGTTTAAAATTTATAAATGCATGTATAGCGTCATATCCAATGAAACTCAATGTTTTAGCAAAGAATTTGTAAATTCTGCCGCTAATTTAATTATTCCTGGTCTTTAGTGGTGGAGGTTTTTTGAACTGCAAATCAATAATATTGCTTTAGATGACTTCAGTAGTATAACAATACTTTAGTATTACTTGTTGTGATTTTGGATTACTTAAAGTATTGTTCGGGATATAAGATCCCCAGAACTCACTTGGAAAAGGTCCTAATTTTGTAATTTTATTTTGAGATTTTTTCAATTTTATGTTTTCGCGCCAAAGACGCATACTTTGACCTTCAGCCTGCATTTCTCACTCGGGAAATCCTTGACTGCCATTGGTTGATAGATTATTTTAGTATGCTGCATTGTTGCTTTCACCAAGGGTATTTCATCATTGTATGAATAAACTTCAGCTGTGTGCTTGTTGACTGCTGTACTTTCTGGTTGCCTGTGGCATACATTCTCAATGTCTCATCAACAATTCTCCCTCGGGTTAAAACAGCCTATTAAGTCACTGAATCTTTGACCTTCGTTCATTTACCGAGTAAGGTAAACTGGTAATTACCCGACTATGTCTAGTATATATTATTAATTTAAAACAAAAACATTTTGTATGCAACAAATTGAAAGTTATTACTACATTCAAAATTGAGTGTCTTCAAAAAATTTTCACCGGTTTGTACTGTAATTATTACCTTTGTATACTTCACCGATCTCATATACGTTATGCAAATTATTTACTGAATTATCCTATATTCCAGACATCAGACAAAATACACCACAATACACTGATTTCCAATATCTAAAATATGAAACTATTTTAATAACTAAATAATAATGAGTTATGGTTTTTTTTAAATTTAATTAACAGCCACATTAAACTCAGTTGAACAGGGAAAAAACAAATGCAAAGCATTCACTTGACTTAACTTTGAAATAATCTAATCTCTGTTTATTCATTCAATGAATAAACATTATTTTTATGTCCACTATATTTAAATACTTCACTAAATTTTAAATAAAATGAGTACAACAGATTCACATTTATAGATGATTTTTTTTATTTACTACGACCATTATTAGTTTTTAACTTTAAAGTATGTTTGAATTTTGTTGACCAATTCTATTAAGGCTTACGTCAAATAAAATATTATTTTTCTCACCAAACAAAACCATAATCTACTATTGTAGTTTGCGTGTATGCTGGAAAAATATGACACACTGTGGAGGGAAGTCGGTATAGATTAAAATAAGGTGAGGTATAATTGAAAATTTAGAATGCAACAGACAATTATTTCACCTTAGTATTGGACTCCACAGAGATGTATGTTCATACTTTAAATTAAATATAAGGACCGTGTCATAAAGAAAGAAGAAGAGTCTTCTCATAGTCAGTCAGTCAGTCAGTTACGACGTAGAACTTCGTACGTAAGTACATCAGTTCAGATTGCCATACCACATTAGCACAGAGACGCAAATGTCAATTCAAATCCAAGAGTGATAGTGATAGCAGAAGTATTAGCAGCAGTGTAGAAGATTACGGCGCGAAGATATGATTCGAAAAGTATTATTCAAAGAGATAAATTTAGAAGGAGAAAGATAGAGATTATCAGTGATTCAGAAGGTTAGAATTAAAAAGCACACAAAGAGTGGATGCACCTGTGCGATTGCAAACGATTCTGAGCCATGTCTTTCAAGGTCTCTAACCATTGGTGACTTTCGTCTAGCGGTTGCCATACCACATTAGCACAGAGACACAATT